TTTACATGTTATTTACATGTCATATAGAATTTATTATTATATATCCAGAGTAAAATATTTGAAGAATAATATGAGTTTCTACTTATGTTCCATTTTGTTAATTGTGTTCACAAAACTATAAATTCACATAAATATCCATTAAATATTGTATAAGTTAACTCTGTTCTTAAAATTTCATGTGGTAGGTGAATTTATCCTTTAGACTTTAGATGAATATTTAATATAAAATACTAATAACTATTATTTCATTAACATAATTTCAATTTACATATAAACTTGTTTGTTATCAAACAAGTATTAGATCACATATTTATATTTTTATACTTCTATGAATTTAATTAAGAAAATGTAACTTAAATAAATGTATGTTTTAACTATTGAATATTAGAATAAGTATTTCACATTGAATATTTCATACATTTTCATATATTATGTGCATTCTATATATTCTTGTATTTTCAAATTTCCAGTGAATGGACTAATTATAAATGATCTAATTGGAAGGAACTTTACATATTTGTAAACTTTATATATTCGACAGGAAATGGAATGAAGAACCTGATCGATAAATGCTTCGTTGGAAAATAGGGCTATGTGTAAATACCTTTTGTAGTCACTTAATGGGAACTACTCAATAAACCTCTGCAATCATGTGGAAAGCAAAAATACGTGTGACTAGACTGCAGCTGTTCATGCATTTATGGCAATTTTAAATGTATAAAATTGGACAGAATGCACATATTGTACATGAATACCAAACTAAAGTATTCATCATAACATTTAGAGAATAAAACAAATCTTTGTTTAGGTTTTATTCCTTTAATTGTATTTATAAAAATTTGCATAAACATATGCAAATCATTGTAAGGTAAAATAATTTTCTTTTAATTGCCCAATCTAACGATAATAGAGTTGATTTAAAAAATTTTATCACAGACTGACGTTTACCAAATTTAAAGTGAATCTAAGTTTTTCAGATTGTTTCTGCCTTTATTTTGAGGAAACTTTTTTCATTAAGCTTCATCACATTTTATCCATACCAGTGCATTCTCATTGGAATTTGATTGCTGAAACCGTGCGAAAGAATTCTTTTTTTTTCAAATCATCGCATTCCATGGTGTGCAACGAGTGTGCTTTCTTCCTCCCCCCGCGCGTTTCCCGGTCGCTTTGTTTGCACATGCATTTGGACGATTGCTTTCCACGTATACAACCGCGTATACGTTGTGTAACCGTAACGGTAAAGCGATCCGTCATTCATCGTTACGGAACAATTAGGAAAACATATTGTAAGGAGCATGAAGATCCGATGTAATGCATCGAGCGCAGATCGAACACTCCAGAATACAGTGGTTCATGAAAGTATTTGAAAACTTACGATAGAAAACTTATACAGGGTGATTCGTAATTCATAGTACAAATAGAGTCAGGAAGATTTCATGGCTCAAAATAAGACAAAATAAGAAGAATTGTGTCGGAGGCTTTGTTTTTGAGAAAATTAAGTTTGAGAATTTGTTTGGTACGCGTGTAGCGGGCTAGTTTTTGACTAACATATTCAAATTTTATTTTCTCCAAAACGAGACCTTAAACGATAGAATTTCTTATTCTTTATTTTCGACTTATTTTCACATTTTGAATAACATCTTGTAAATTATCCATTCATGTCCAACTGAGAATTGGTAAAATTCACGTATACCGCACAAATTGTCAAAGTTGATTTTCTCAAAAACGAGACCTCCAACACAATATTGTTATTTTTTATTTTCGTCTTATTTTGAGCCATAGAATATCCCTGATCCCATTTGCATCATAAGTTACCATAAATTTGGGCCATTCTGTATACTGTATGTATTATATAAAACATTAAAAAATTCAATTATCGCTGTAATGAGACACGACCGCCATGATTGTATTGGTAAAATTTGAAACCAGTCTGAAAATGTACATATATCTCACAAAAAAATGTCCATACAGCATGAATAGCGATCTTAAACATATAATAAGTGTTACAGATAGTTCACTGAATATCGAGGTTTGTTAACATAATGGATAAACTGTTTAAATAGTTTTGTAGTATTTGCGAAATATATGTATAAGTATACCAGTATTAAATATTTCATAATTTTTATATATTTTCAGATTAGTTCCAAATATTACCAATGGTGATAGTCCCGCCTGATTGCAATGCGAGTATTTTATTTAACACGCATAATATACTGATACAAAATTTCTACGTGTGTTTAGATAGTTTTGTGAACCAGTGCAGCCAACGTAACGAATTTGTTTCGGTAAACAGAGACCGGTGAAAGGTTCGTTGCTTTTTTCCGCGTGTAATTGTTCCTTGCGCGAGCTGATACGCGCTTTTTCTACGATTTCATTTTGGATCCAGCTCGCTGAGATATTTTATCGCGTTTCTTTTTTCTCCTCAACCTTCTTAGGGCTAATTATTGCTTCAATGTCTCAAGAAATAATTTCAGATATTAGTCTAGAATACGGCAAGAAATTTAACTGCAGTTACGCAATGAAAAATAAATTATAGTTACGTAATTACGTGTGTATATTTTTCAACGTATCAGGTGATATAACTTTTTCCATTAGAAAAATGTAGCAGCCTGTTATTAAGAAAAGAGTAATGAACATAATTTGTTGAAATTTTATTGGGAATTTTCAAATTATAAAAAGAAAGGATTTTTTTTTTTACTTAAATGTTTACAAAGTTAGTAAATTCTCGTTGGATTTTTCTATGAATGATGGAATTTACTGTTTAGTTTAGTTGAGTTTTTCATTGAAAATTTTACAAGTAAGGAAATAAAAGAATTTCTTATATATAGATTTACCTTTTATAATGCTGGTCATTGCTTTCTCATTGAATTTTCTCGCGAAGTTCTATTTAAAAGATACCAATTGTATAAATAAACGAGTTTACTATAGTTATACAGAAGACTAATTTATCGGTTCTACAATAAAACCAATCGATTTTGCCTCGTTACAAAGCAGAACCTGCTATACACGAAACGTATGTTTTTATTATTAATTGGAACTCCAATTGTGGAACGAGAAAGTTAAGAGAACCTCTATATCTATAACTCCTTTCCTATAAACTTTAACAACATTCGCTATAATTTATATAAACCGTGACTGTAACTTATTTTTGTAAAATATATTTATCCTCCTCGGTATCGACGAAATAGTAATTAAAATGAAACAAATATTGTACGACATTTTTATTATATATTTATACATAGTATTTTTATTACTTCATTACAAGCGATAGATAACATGTAAAGGTTGCACAAATGCAATATTATTTAAAAATGTAAATAAACTAAGTTACTGTTAAATTAAGAAGAAATAGAATAATGTAGAGTAATAATAAACAAGCTATTAGTATAATAGATACATTACAAAAGTCCATTACACAAATAAATTCAACGAATGTGTAATTTAGTCAAAGTTACTGTGTTTATCGTCCGGAAGAATTTTCTATCTGATCTCGCTTGGTGAAGAGCGTTTCATTAAATTTGCGTATCAGAGGTCATTGACCAGTTATTTGATTTTTCGTCGAAATTTAAAATAGAATATCAATGAGAATGAATATTTCGGTCGATAAATGTTTTAAGAAAAGGACACTATCTTTCTTTTATTTTTCTCCAATTGAACGGGCATTATTTTCGATTCTCTATTATAATATAATATTGATAATATCGCTGATCTGTCCTCATTATTCGATACAAGTTTTTGAAGTCTTGCAGTATCGCATAAAAAAATATTTGTTCAATCTGGACAATTTAATTTCTTATAATAAAGAACGATGTACTTGTATCAATACTTCAATATTCTTATATTCTCTTGATACCTTATATATATTTTCCAATATTTCAATAATTCCACTAATCTTCGCGATTTAATATCCCTCTCGTATAACGATACAATGTTTCTGCTTAATTTCTCGCATATGTCAGTCGCTCAGTCTTCAGTCTTCGTTGAAAAAAACCTACATATTTAAATTTTACTTTTTATCGTTCTATCATCCGCTTTAATATGTTTGCTTCGCACATCTGGGACCCGAGGAATTGTAACATTTTTATTTATCCACGAAGTATCGTCCTGAATTTTAAAACTGTTCCTCCATAAAAAATAGCAAATGTGACTTATCGTATTCTTGTCTTAGAGCCTTTATGGTACCACAATATCGTATAAAATATCGTAAGCATCTGAACGACGCCGTTTCGTGAAATACCTCGTCGCACATCACGAAAATTGACATCGGACTATGGTTATAGCAGACGCGTATTTGGACGAACTAGCGTTCTGACGAATGAAACATCCGAAAACTGCAATGCCTAGCACTCATAAAAATCTATAAACATATTTGATCACATCGACGTATTGGATTCATCAGAACTCTAATTTGTCCTAATATGCATCTACCTTAACTGTTAACCAATCGAGTGTGATCTTCATAATTTATTCGAAGTCAGATTTTTCTCTGCAAAACCACGGACGAAATTTACACCGTGTATAAGTTCATCGAAAAATCTAATTAATATAACAGTGATACAATATAAGAAACAAGAAGCCAGCAATCTTCTTGCAATGTTTCATTAATTCGTACATTTTTTACTCCGAGTTACAGATAAATAAATAAAATAAAAATAGAAGTAAATCCATGGCGAGAGGAATTTTGAACTGCAATACAAAAAAAAAAAAAACCATGATAATATCGTGGCCTGCCGAAATCAACGGAATAAATACTTAATTAACTTAACTGAAGGATTAATTATCTCGACTGATCCAATGCCTGGCTTTGTCCCTGAAAAATCAACATAATCAATATCGAATTTCTTCGTAATATTTCTAGAGAAAATTTGCTATCGTTCCGTCGGCGGAATCGCGTAGGTTCTTTTATTTACTTTCTCGTTACGAAAGAAGAAAGAGAGGTCGGTGCGCATGTGAAGCATCCTGGCCTGCGCGGGCTCCATCGACCCTCAAACCATTTCGTATACGTTTCCAGTACGTGTTTAGCGATCCTACTGTGCCAGTTTGATCGGAAAAGGGAACGAGATAAAATCACCATCGATTGGCCAATTAACCGGCGCCCCTTGTCGGACAATCGTGCCTCGACTGCATTCGAGACCAATCGTTATCTCTGTGTGATATCGTGATATTACCCCGTACACCGGTTAAGGCAATCGTCCACACCTGTCACGCCACTTGATCTCGATCCTCGTCTTTTCTGGTTAGACGTGTACGGTCGTTTCGTCGCAGTGAACGATTTTAGTTTATTTCATTCCGATTACTCTCTTTGTTATTTCGTTATCAACAATTCGTTGACTGTCGTACGAATTTCGTATACTCTGTGCTGGCAGCGGCGACAGATTCGAATGTCGATGGTTTGCCCTGCAAATGATGTACGTTTGATTTTAGCGTTTTCGAGAAAAAACGGTTTTACAAATTCGATGGTATTTTATAATTAAATAAGTACGTTCTGCAATGTGAAATTGGTCGGCAAATTGTCCATTGATCCCTCTTAGGAACGTAAAATGACAAAGGTCATATTACGGTTGAGGATCGTGGCTCTTGAAAATCTCTATGTATATGTATATATATACATATAAGTAGAATAAATATAAAGATTATTTTTGAGAAATTTGCGAGATAGATGTGATTTTTATACGACGCAATGAAACAGCGAAGAATCATTTGTCACGTACAAAAATTCAAATTTCACAAAAAGCGGACGTACGATCTTTGTGCAATAAGCCATCGATACATTTGATTTGATAATATTTGATTTTTCCAAAATACTGTATCGTTCACTTCTTTCTGATAATGTTATTCGAGTAATTCACGTTGCTGACGATTGGTTGGTCTTATCTTAATTATTCCAAAGAATTTAGTAACGTGGGCCACCGATGGCCACCGTGGCAGTCAACGTATTAATACGTATTTTTTCTTTATTTCAAATGCTATTATATCTAATTATAGGAGGAAAGAAGACGAAAGAAAAGGACGATGGTTGTGTTAAAGGGGACGTTTTAAAGGGGAGCGAGTTCTCGAATTTACGTAATCGTGTTTTAGACGATTGTATACACGGTGACTTGGAAATCGTGCTGTAATAGGAAAAGAGGTGATTCCCCGTGTAGAAACAAATCGAAATCGTAGAACAACGATCTTCAGCTATCTCCCCCAAGGAATCTCATTTGAATTAAGGGATACAAAGAGTGTTTGTATAATAATAGATCAAAAGCAATGGAAATTTCTCAAGTTTCAATCTCGAAGTTTCTTTGGGATTACTGAGATTAAATCGGTCGAACACTTACAAAGTAATTCACAGAGAAGATTTTACAATTTACGTAATCGTACTTTAGATAATTCTATGCCTGTTAGAGCAACGTATTAGAATTTTTGTTTAGAGGTTTTGTAAAGAGTATTCTACGCTCGTGTATGTGTAATAGATCGGTAAAGGCAGAGTTTAGAACGGAAGAGTTTAAAAGTTTGCTTTTATTCAGATGGAAGACGGATTGAATTTAACGAAGCCCTGCGAGATCGTTTCTGTGGAATCTCAGAGTTTACGTAATCGTTCCTCGGACGATTATCTGTTCGTTAGGTTAATGTACTACTGCTGCTTTTATTTGGAGTTAGGGGATATATCAACATACGATATAATGGATAGAAAGTGGTTGAAGATTGGAAGGAAGGGTGTATTGGGGATGAAATAACAGAACGTTTTACGTTTGCTTTCTCTTTCGTGATTGAGATTCTGTCTTTCGTTTCTTTCTTATTAATCGCAGTTTCTTTCATACTTACGAAAGAATACAGTTCCTTATGTCGCAATTGAAATACTAAAAATGATATTTTTAACTTATCTAAAAATTGTACATTTTATCGTACTGCTCGAACAATACTATTGATTTTTCGAACAATTTGAGTCGATCAAAAGGCTGGTAACTGTGAGCATCATCGAGCCTCGATATTTATAAAAGTCGCATCACCGCGATATATACAGCGAGTCAGAAGCGATTCTAAACAGGTTTTTTTCGTTACAAGCGATTTCTTCGTAGATTCTACGGTATATTCGACTCGTCGCTTTATTCCATTGTATATCGAGCAGAAAAGTGACTGCAGAACTCTATACGTGCCGTATATAAAACACGGAGAATCTTTACACTGGGTCTACATTGTCAGGTCGTTTAACAAAGTGAAACGCGATCGATCGTCTAATGTCTGATATAAATTGTGTCTTGTTAATCGCACAGCTTGCAATACGACTGTAACGTACACGTTTTCCTATGGCATAGCCCTTTGTGCGATTTAAAGCATCCATTTTCATTAAGACGTTGTCGTGAACCAAATATACCTTGATGATTCTTAGAAATAATACTTTCTTATTCTTTCCATATACTTTTCTTGTGAAAACTATTTTTATAAATACTATTTAAACCTTTTTTTCTTGCAAAAACTATTTATATGTAGCACACGTGCTAGTCGAAAAGTTTTGGAATATTTCGAAGAAAGAAAGCAACGAGAAAGATAAAAATGACGTACGTAGTTCAGGATGTAAATGACCAAGTTAGATTTACGTTAAATTTCGTTGTTGATATTAACGCTAAAATTACAATAAATTCGATATTAATAGCAAATATTGATACACATTTACGAGCATATATATTCCTCTTTATTTCGATATATTGCGATGGTGAATGCGTTATTAATTAAACCTAGACGTTCAAACGAAATTATACAATGTTTCTGCAAACGTGTCTTTTTTTTTTTCCTTGAGATTAAACTCCAGTTTCGTGGCTATTTCTTCGAATAAAATATTCGTTCTCTTATCAATAGACATACATATGTACTACAATACCAAATACGTATCGTACGGTTTGGGCAAATATTGTTATTAACGATAAGCTTACCATGCTGTATACTGAAAATCGCTATCTTTTGAATAATTACGAACAATATACATTATCAGAGACACTTGTCGTGCCTAAACAGCTAGATATTATGTGTCTCTAACACGAATGTGGAACGTGAGATAGTCAGATACGCGATCAAAAAGTTCTGTCACACCTACAATTAGTCGTTACACTTTTGCGAGTGAAAACGAAACGGAACGTGGGTGGGAACCATGGGTCGGTGATCACGCGATTTTACCTTGCTTCTATTCTCAGAGAGTTTAGAATTAATTTAACGAATAGTCTTTACATTACAACTGCAAAAAATGCTTATACACGAGTTACAAATATTACATATCTATGATTATACAATGGCCGATAGAAGCACGAATTGTGCAAATAGTTTTAGATTCGTTGATATTTCTCAGTGTCTATATTTATTACTGGTTAACTTTTCATTGATTTATTATTGTAAATGTATTATTATACAGGGCTGTTATGCGGTACATTTATTGGGAAATTTCAACGAATTCTACTTTATTTGATTTTTTTATATTGCAAGGCATTTACAACGCGAGATAAATTAGCAGATTTGCGATAAAATGAGTTGAAAATAAAAGCAACCTAAGGGATACAATGAGTTTACGTACATCGTTCTCTTTGTCTATTTGAACTTTCAATATCGTAAAAGCTGCGCGAGAATAATAAATATGGGAATTTTGAAAGATATTGGGATTAACATGATTAAAGTAATACTTGATCAAAATAATATTTATTCAGAATGGTGACGTGTTCGAATGTAATTACGTGGAATTTGTAGCGAATAAAGTGATTAAGAGTAGGAAGAATAGACAATGTCGGTGGTAACGTTCTGTAATGAATTCTACGCGATCCATCATTCTAATTTGCGTTAATTTCAATGTAAGATATGAAAACATATTGGTCTTCCTTCTCATTAGCATATGAAAGCAGCCTTTTGTATGGTACTATACTTCCGATAAATGACTCAGTGTTCGCTTACCTCTTTAGGAAAACACGGAAAAAAAAATAAGAGAAGAAGAATGTTTCTACCTATTACGATTACAATTCTCTTTTCTGCTCTCTATTTCTGACACGTTTTAACGTATCCTCAGACTACCAATATGTATTTTCAAGGTTCTTCACTAAGAGGATCAATATGTATCGTCAATATCTATTGACAAATTGACTATTTTCATCGAGAACCCTGAAATACAACGATTATTGATTAAATGACAAATTTATCGATTGTCCGAGAGCACTTTTACTTCTATAAATCAAAACTACTAATTAACAGGTAAATAGTACAAATTCATAAATAAAATTCATAAATAATCTTCAGAAAATTATATAAAAAGAAAATTCACTCGGCTGTTACTATTGTTAAATTTCATTGAGATACTTAACTTTAATTTCGTACTTTGTTAAATTAAACGCTACACGTTCAACGATTATTTATTTTTACTCGTAATACTATCAGCTTAATTTACACTGTACTGTCGAAAATAGCATGTCAATATGTTAGATTTATTTATCGTGTCCTGCGACAGTCCACTGTACGTTCACTTAAATATTTAATTAAATATACAGGGTGGTTGGTAAGTGGTGGTACGAAGTCGAAAATATAGAATAAAAAATTTTTTTTTACTTTTTCCATCGAGACAACGATCTACAGTGAGATCCGTTATAACGAGACGCGATAAAGTGCACGCGTACCGAGCGAAAATTCAAAGTCGATTTTCTCGGAAACAAAGCCTCGAACGAAAAATTGTTATTGTATATTTTCGACTTCTTTTTTCGCCTAGAATCAACCCCTTTCCGCTTGTACCACCAGTTACCAACCACCCTGTATAAATATGTAATATATTGTTTATTTTTGCAATTATTCTGATGTGTAAGCATCAGTAGATAGTGGATTTTTATGCAATTTTATAATAATAATAATAATTTATTTTTCAGCTCTTCGATTATAAGAAAAGACTTGGTTTACGATTGTTATTTTTATTTGTCTTGTACTTTTAATCGTAAAACTTTTATGCAATTTTATATTTTTATCAATATAACTAGCGATTTGTCTCGTGATTTAATTTTATGACAAGTTTTCTACTTTAGATGTTTTATACATTTATGCATATTTTTTTTCATTCATGGAGCTCTAAAAAATGTTCTTATGAAGAGTCATATATATCGTTTTACATTATCTTTCACATAAAATTCTTACATTGTAACTTTACTAGGTATATGAAGTATATCTCAAGGTATATGAAATTTTAAACATTAATTGTAGAAAATATAGAGGAAAATTACATCTTTTCAAAGAACGATGTGCATGAGTACACATTTTAATGCGTGTATTCTCCGTATTTTTGAGTCTTCAAACTTCTCATACACGCATATAAATCCGTATTCTAATCATCATCAAAGTATCATTCTAGAAAGACATCAAAGTTCAATTTTTTATCAATTAAAATTTCATTCTGCATACTCTCTTAACTTATTTTATTTTTTTATTATTAACAAATTTTTATTCTATATTTTCGATTTCTTTTTTCGCCTAGAATCACCCCCTTTCCGCTTGTACCACCAGTTACCAACCACCCTGTATATTATACAATATCATACGATACAATATTATACAATAGGATTTAATTTAGTAACACCGTTTCCAATCGACTGTCGAGCGATCATTGAAACTATTTAAACGATATGGTTGCTGCTTGCGCAGATGTTCGTACACGCTTGAAATTCCACGGTAATTCAGAATACCGAGAAACACGTATTATCCCATCTCGCAGCCGATGTATGGCATATTGCTAGCAGTGTTTCGCGCGTTGCATTTGTTCGCTAATTCATTCGCACGCGCTAATTGCTCGGCTTTCTTCTTGACCTTTTGTCGTTCGTGCGCGTCCGCTCGCTTCGAACTCGACTGGAAAATTCGAGGCACGAAAGTTTAAACATGAATTTCAGTCGTTTTTAGAAAAGATATTGAGCGATAAATGTACACGAAGAAAGCTGCAGGTAATAAAAACGAGCAAACATATGAATTGTGATGGTTGAAATGTGAAAAATTAGTTGCAGTTATTCCAAGAGAAGTTGTCGAACGAACACGAACGAGTAGTTGAGATATAAAATTATGGTAGCCAAAGTGGGAAATATTTCGAGGAAAATTAATTCGAATGTTTGATAGGAATAACTAAAGGATTTCCTGGTTGGGAAAGGAACCGTGAAACTCTTCGATCGACTAGAGAAACTTCGGTCTCAAGGATAAAGTTGCGAAGCATATTAACGTTAGACAGCTGCATGAGTCATTTCGTAGGATTGCTTTGCAGATTCCAAGTAAAATGCATTCGTTTTATCTAGGATGGAAAGTAATGGAGGAAATTTAAAAGAAAGTTTAATTTCTCGTATTCTGACAATTTTCTACGGTTTCAATCTAATCGTAGAAACTTTCGTTCACGGAATTCTCACGACTGCTATCTTTATTTATAAAAATAAGTTTCTTAATTTTATCGAGTTCCATTGTTCTGCGAATTTGCAAAACTCCGCTAATTTTGATAGATTTTCACAATAATTATCTTTCCCGTTATCTCTTAGTAGGTGTTGTTCTTGCGATTACATTTCAAGCAAAAACCTAATATACAGGGCGGTTGGTAATTGGTGGTACAGGCGGAAAGGGGGTGATTCTAGGCGAAAAAAGAAGTCGAAAATATAGAATAACAATTTTTCGTTCGAGGCTTTGTTTCCGAGAAAATCGACTTTGAATTTTCGCTCGGTACGCGTGCACTTTATCGCGTCTCGTTATAACGGATCTCACTGTAGATCGTTGTCTCGATGGAAAAATTAAAAAAAAAATTTTTTTATTCTATATTTTCCACTTCTTTTTTCGCGTAGAATCACCCCCTTTCCGCTTGTACCACCAGTTACCAACCACCCTGTATAATTCAATTTGAAAGATCTTCCGGTAAACCGAAAAAGGTTTATCGTAATTAACGTCGAAAAGTACGTAGAATAAATTTTTCCCCGTAGAAATTCGCCGACCTACTCGGGCAGAAAGTTATTCCAAGAAAAAGATGCTTCTGAACAATGCGAGTAAAATGGTTCCGGGGGAAATGGTCGGAAAATCGTGCGCTGCGACGAACGTTTCGCGGAAAGATGGAAAGTAATTTGGTAAATCGAAGGTGGCGTGTCTAAAAGTCGATTTTTCGATCGAAAGTTACGCGAGTGAGACGAGAAAATTTCTCGATGGTTCTTCGTGGTTTGCTGGCACCAGCGGCGGCGCGATGGACACGAAATAAAACAACGAAAAGGTAGAACGATTGCATTAATTGAAGTTCTTAATGAACTTTGGACCGCGTTCTAAAAGAGGACATAGGTGAAACATATATAATGCTTGTTACGTTACATATATAATGCTATGTTAGAGATAAAACGCGAAATTCAGAGAAATGGTGTTTTTAATTTAAAAATCGAATTGTGTAACCCTTTTCGCAAAATATTTGAATAACATCAACATTCCTTAGATTATGGACAAGGTTGACTCGTTGAAAATATTTGATGCGAGCTAAAAAGTTGCAATTAAAATTTCAAACTGACTTGAACAATGAAACAACGATGAATGACAATTAGAAATTGTTATTATGCTCGATTTTTATTATGCTCAGGGTACGTTGAAATACAATTGTAACAATAACGTGTATAAGTTTGATTGTTCGATCTTGCATGATCTTGACTAATTTTTGTCGTATTGTATCTTGTACCTTATAGCTACGTAACAATTAAAAATGTTAGGACATTAATTATGAGACACGGAATATTTTTTACATTGCCGGATGTTCTCTTTTCTTTTTTTTTTTTTTTTCAAACAATGACATAATATTGTATCAATTTATAGAGTAATTTATTTTCTTTGGTATGAAAAGCATTTCCTTCAATGAAAAGCATAATATGAATACAAGCATTAATTGTGAGATACGGAATATTTTTTACATTGCCGGATGTTCTCTTTTCTTTTTTTTTTTTTTTCAAACAATGACATAATATTGTATCAATTTATAGAGTAATTTATTTTCTTTGGTATGAAAAGCATTTCCTTCAATGAAAAGCATAATATGAATACAAGCATTAATTGTGAGATACGGAATATTTTTTACATTGCCGGATGTTCTCTTTTCTTTTTTGTTTTTTCAAACAATGACATAATATTTTATCAATTTATAAAGTAATTTATTTTCCTTGGTATGAAAAGCATTTCCTCCAATGAAAAGCATAATATGAATACAAACATTAATTGTGAGACACGGAATATTTTTTACATTGCCGGATGTTCTCTTTTCTTTTTTGTTTTTTCAAACAATGACATAATATTTTATCAATTTATAAAGTAATTTATTTTCCTTGGTATGAAAAGCATTTCCTCCAATGAAAAGCATAATATGAATACAAACATTAATTGTGAGACACGGAATATTTTTTACATTGCCGGATATTCTCTTTTCTTTTTTCTTTTTTCTTTTTTCAAACAATATAATATTTTATCAATTTATAAAGTAATTTATTTTCCTTGGTATGAAAAGTATTTCCTTCAATGAAAAGCATAATATGAATACAAACATTAATTGTGAAAAACGGAATATTTTTTACATTGCCGGATATTCTCTTTTCTTTTTTCTTCTTTGTTTTTTCAAACAATGACATAATATTGTATCAACTTATAAAGTAATCTATTTTCCTTGCTAAATATTAGCAATGCAAATCATCCGTCTTGTTGTTACGTTTCTTCGTATAACTTGCTCGAAAACCCTGTTTGTTCTATTTAGCGTGTTATTCGTTCATATTTAGACATACGCGTATAACAAATACGTAAAATAAGTAGTTGAGAAACACACGAGTCGGTGTTTTAATTGGACGTCTATGAAATCCATTCGTCGCTACTTGAACCTCATTGATCTTGCGTGAAACGATATTTTATTTAACGACGAACGATTAATACAAGAAAATATAAAATCGATGTTAAGGCCGACTCGTTAACGAGATGTTTTCACACTTTTCCTTTTTTCCCTTTTTTTGTTAATTAATTTCCACGTCGAAAAGGTGAGAGGTGTATACCGTACGGTTTATCGGCGATCTCTCTAACTGCGTAGACGAATAATTATACCAAAATAGAAAATAGTATTTCAAATTACACGCTTTTCTTTTTCGACTGTAATTTTCGCGCGTAACTCCATGTTCTGTCTTATTAAGCGCAAATAAGAGAAAAGCAAAGTGACTAACGGTAATGTTAAGAAATAAAATTAAAATGTAGAAATTATTAATTAATTCAGATTAACTGTGAATGATAATATAATATCTTTTATAACAATCGTATTTTTTTTTTTTCTTTATATATACATGTAAATCGGAAATGAAAGGTAAAATTTCTTCGAGTAAGGTTTCGTTTTTGAGAAAATCGATTTGTAGATTTATAGATGTATGTGCTTTGAGTTATGTGCTTCTGTAATATGTAGAGAGACCAAAATCGATAAACCGATAGATACCAACAACGTGTCACGATAATAAACCGGTAGAATAATAGATAATAAACCAGGACGTTCGTAAGTGTATAAGCAGGAACAGAGACAGATATGTATGTACACCAAGGTTTATCATATCGTTACTTCGAAGTTCAGTATACGCGTAAGTATACTTGATACATTGCAATATTCTCAAAAAATCTTGTTCAATTGAATAAATAGAATATTGTCTATAATATTCTGTTCCTTATGTATTGCATTTATTTATTTTTTATGTACATCTGTTTCATTTAAACCACAGTTAACAGTAACATGTACATATTTTTGCATTAAAAACAAAATTTTGTCACTTCCCAATGAGGAACATAGCAGCGGATGATTTAAATAATGAGACGACAATTTCATTTATTTCTAAAAACAACTCAATTATATATAACTAAATTAATAAATATATCATTATTACATCGTTCCAGGTATAGAATAATATTCTTTTCACACGCACAAAATCACATTAATGATAAATAGACTATGGATGTTTACGTATTGTAAATTCACATCTGTGTGAGCCTAAATTTTTATTTATTTATACTTCTTTATATAATCACTTTATAATTCTCCATAAATGCCTAAATATTGGTAGTTTACTAATAAAGTCATAATATTTTTTGATGATATTCCAAAAGAACAGGCATAGAATGATAACAGTAACTGGCCTGTGGAAGGTACGCACATGTATAACATTTTTGTTACGTCACTTTACATGCTGACACGAAACAACGATCATTTTACAGGGGTCAAGAGAAGCAGGCAGCCGGACAATTAGGATTATCACGTTATGGACCGCAGGTGATGAGTGTGTTGTGTTTATGCACCACGATACACCAGACGGGTCAGAACAACAATCAGGCCAGCAAGATACTTCCGAGCACACCACCGATCTCATCTGAGGAAGAGAGGATAAACTCGTCGCAGGAAATACCCACCGACGAACTGGCTCTATTAGCTAAGCTGGAGGAAGCCAATAGGTGAATCGTCGCGCTGACTAACGTTCAACATCGACATTGCATGTGCAAACGAATCGTGCTTTAGATACTGCGTATACATTGCCGCTTACACGTTCAATTATGTTGTGTTACGTGATTCAATATCATTCCATACACGATCAGTTGATTGTGAATGAGAGAAGGTGTAACTTGAATGGGATGAATCAAAACATTTCTACATAAAAGATAGCTTATGCAAATCGAAATATAAATATTTGGCGCTGTTCTGAATACAATAGAATATGCTAAACTCTAAATTTTTTTCTAAGCGTTCAATTTTTTAGTAAATCTAGAAGAGGAAATATATTGTATGCGTTTCTATTCGATTCAACGATAGGTGAATGAAAACACTTTTAAGGAAAAAGTGGTTTACGTGAATGGAAGGACAGATATTTGTTGCTACTCTGAATATATTGACAGTCTTTCCTAAATTTCTAGCTTTTCAATCGCGCATCTTTGCATTTAAAAAAGAAGAAATGTTGTATGTTTCTATTTAACTCGGTAATAGGTGAACACAAGTAGATATTGAATTCACATTAATATGAAATCTTTTAATTATTCTGAATAGTCTGTTTTTGTATTAATTTGGCAGTTATGTTTATCTTATATTTTTATATTTCAACTGATACTAAGCACACGTTTAGAAAAGAATGTATATACTCTTGCATTAATTAGGATATTTATTATAGTCTTGGGTTGTAACATATGAAAGTATAATTTTGTATGACACTACCTATCCGTAATGTTCTATTAGCTGAGAGTAATTATACAAAGAACTGGCATTTGTTAGTAAAAAGAACTTCAAACTTTATAGCACCACTTGATCGTATTAGTCCATTATACATCTATATTTATAAGTAATTTTTATGAATGTCCAAAGTTAATTGGATTTAAAAATTCAAGTTAATTGAATTTAGCAAGATAATTGTATTTAACTAAAATTGAAATCTAATTGATCAACATATTTAATTTATATCTAATTCATCCACTGTTACTAATAAAGATGAATTTATTTCATATTTATTTTTATTTCAACCAAGATGATCAGATATCTCATATGTTACCACTCAATAGTGTTTTAACGAGATTGCATTAATGTAAAGTACATGTCTAAAGAGTTTGATGTAATTAATAACAGGCTTATCGAATCGGATGCAAAGTCGTTGAACTCGCTCCAAAGCAATCACAGTAGAAAAGGTTCCGACACATCTCAGGTGTCCGTGGCGTCGGGGGGCAGCGGAGGAAACAGCGATGCCGCACCCCGACGCCACAATTCAGCTGATGGTGAAGAGAATACGTGGACCCTATGGGGTCACATCGTCGCTGATTGGGATTATCATTGGAAGAAGAGGAAAGAGTTCGTCAAAGAATTAGTACGTCAAGGAATACCTCATCATTTTAGGTAATCAACTCTTTAGAAAAAACCTAAATTTATCAAGTTCATTAGTATCTTTGGATGATCTACGTACTCTCCTAAATTTAATAAGAATCAATAAGAAGTAAAATTATAAGATAAAAACATATTATAATGAATGGACAACTGATTCATGTTCATCGTTACAGAGGTATTGTTTGGCAACTATTAAGTGGTGCACATGACTCTCCTGTGAAAAAGCAATTTGCTGAGTATATCAAGGCTACGTCAGCATGCGAAAGGATAATCAGGAGGGATATAGCCAGAACGTATCCTGAGCATGATTTCTTTAAGGAGAAAGACGGACTTGGTCAGGAGAGTCTATTTAACGTTATGAAAGCGTATAGTCTTCATGATCGTGAAGTGGGATACTGTCAAGGTTCGGGATTTATTGTAGGATTACTCCTTATGCAGGTACACTTTAATATTTGAGTGGGATTAGAGAGCTATAAAAGAATAAGAATAATTATTTTAAAGAAAAAAAAAAAAAAAACGAAGACATGGGATGAATTCTGTTGAGTCAATCAGAATTAAATAGGTATATCAATTTGTTACAGCAAATGCCAGAAGAAGAAGCTTTCGCTGTACTGGTAGCGCTTATGCAAGAGTATCGTTTGCGAGACATGTTCAAGCCGAGTATGGCTGAATTAGGGGTGTGCATGTATCAGCTAGAACATTTAGTTGCTGACACTCATCCCGAGTTACACGCTCATTTTACGGCTCAAGGTTTTCACACGTCAATGTACGCGTCGTCTTGGTTTCTTACGCTTTTTACCACAGCGCTCAGCCTACCGCTGGCCTGCCGCATTTTTGACGTGTTTCTGTCCGAAGGCATGGAAATTATTTTCAAAGTTGCACTGGCCATGTTGCATTTAGGCAAGGAAGATTTATTAAGCTTGGACATGGAAGGCATGTTGAAGGTAACTGTTTATCATCAGAATCCAACATCTTGCCCATAGATAAGAACTTTAAAAAAATACAGAACATATTACGTTTAGTCGTAGAAAAAAGTCAAGTATCGCAGGCTTTATAATTAAACAATGTTTTCTCCACACGTGGATTTGTTTATTAATTATTTTATTAATATTTATCAGTTTTTTCGTGTGTAGTTCTTTCAGAAACAGCTACCTGGAAGAGGCGAAAAAGATCCAGATGGTCTCATGAATCTTGCCTATGGTATGAAAATAAATCCAAAAAGAATGAAGAAACTCGAGAAAGATTATACTGTGCTGAAAATGAAAGAGCAAGAGGAGATGGTTGAACTTCGTAGGCTTAGAGCAGAAAATAGGTTACTTAGACAAAGAACTGAACTTCTGGAAGCTGAGTCTGCGGAGTTGGCAGATAGATTAGTCAGAGGTCAAGTTTCTCGAGCAGAAGAGGAGGAAACTGCTTTCGTTGTACAAAGAGAATTAGCAGCTCTTCGACACACGCATCTTGAAACCAGTCATCAGCTTGAGCAAGCTCACGAAGAACTAAGATCATTGTCGCTTCTGCTAGAAGAAAATGTGACATCGAAACAATCCTCTTTGGATGAAATTTTGTCAAAGCAGGAAGCATTGTCACAAAAAGAGGAAATGATACAGTGTTTGCAAGAAGAATTGGTAAGAGTTCGACTACACGAAGCAGAGAACGACGCAACGATAAGGGAACTTAGAGCAAGAATACAAGAATTGGAACAGGATAAAAAGACGTTGCGCGAATCAACGCCGGATAATTCTGTTGCTCATTTACAAGAAGAACTGATTGCTGTGAAACTAAGAGAAGCAGAAGCTAATCTTTCTTTAAAGGTAATTCATTTTTTTTGACACGTTAAAAGTTGTGAATTTTCTATATTTATAAAGAATCGCTTAAGGTTCTCAAATATTTGTAAAGTATATATTATGTATTTAATAAACTTATCGTAATATAAGAAATTTGTTAGGATCTTCGGCAAAGAGTAGTGGAATTGAGCAGTGCCTGGCAAAGGCATCTGCAAGAACATCGTTCCGCTCAGAATCAACCTGCAAGCGATTCCACGCCGAAGAAACTTTTGTTTTGGGAGAACCGAGGACATGAAGTGCAAAAGTTCGAAGAGGATTTAATGACAACCAGAATTCGAGAGATGGAAGCTTTGACAGAAGTGAAGGAGCTTAGACTCAAGGTCATGGAGCTTGAAACTCAAGTGCAAGTTGCCACGAATCAACTTCGTCGACAAGACGAAGGAGGGAAGTTAATTAAAGAGGAATTAGAGGCTGCCTTAGCTAGGGAGAAGGAACTTACTGCCAAACTACGGGAGCAACAACATAAATATTCCGATCTGGAGTCTAAGATGAAGGATGAAGCTATGATGGCTAGGATACGTGATGCAGAGCATGCGCAGCAAGTGGCAGAACTCACCCAGAAAATATCTCTTCTTGAATTAAAAGTACTATTTCTTTATTTGTACTAATTTCTTTAACTATCCCAACATGAATATTTACATACAGATATAGCAAATATGGATTATCCCTATTTTTTACAGAACGAAGAGATGCACGCGGAAGGTGAGCTTAGAAATAATTTAGATGACAGTGAGAGAGTCAGAGAATTGCAAGATAAAGTTGCAGAATTAAAAGCTGAGGTATGTGAAAATTCTTTGCTTTATTCATGCTGCATTAATGAAAGCATTGATTAAAAAAGAAAAAAGAACTGCAGTAAGAGGTGAATGGAAGAAACATTGTTAAAATGTTATTTAGAGCAAGATCCAAATTTAGCCTTAGTATTATATTTTTTGCATGTATTGCTCAATTTGCTCAGGATATTTTTATTATTTCTATATCATTAAACGATGTTAACTTAAAAATAGAACCATTCATGTGAATCTCAAAGAAGCATACAGTATTTTAGTACTGAAAATATAGCTGCAAATGCTTTCAATTATGCACAAGTATAATTATTATACATATTTATGATCGACGATGATCCTCGTTAAATTTCCTTGATTAAAGTTGAATCTTATCTCTTTGTTTAACGTATTAACTACACTATAAGTTCAAAGTATCAATGGTAGAAGTAATGATGGTAGTTAACAAAGATGTAGAATTATGATCTTATTACAGTAGTTTAAGGTCTAATTTTTATTCAATTTGCTATTAGACTGCAACATAGTAAATTTTAAAGCTTGTAGAGTTACATAACTATTAAAACATATCGTACATTTGGATATAGAAGTAACTCGAGTTGTTAGCCTGTTATAAGATCTTGATTTCTTGTTTCAGTTCGTCCATTTTCATACGTCTGTTTTCATATAATCATATACATAAATTCTATACAGTTGTCGTAATCATTGATACATTTAACATTTCTAACAAATTATTTCTGATTTTAGTATTTTTAATATTTCTACGTGATAAAATAATAAACTTTATTTGCATAGAGTTGATATTTTATTAAATTTTTTGTTTCTAGGATTTTTCTACATAAAATCATCAATTCTAATGATACTTAAAAATCATGGCTCAAGTTTTTTCATGAGAATTTTATACAATTCACTGTGACAATTTTTTAAAATCATGTTTACATATCTGTGATAATGCACATTTTTTGTAACACCATCTTGTGAAGTACCCATGTTTTTCACACACACATTTTTTCTCTATCTGGAAGCTCATATTTATGGGGGTTTAACACTATCGTTGCTCTTTTCTGTTGCACTGTTAATTCACATATCACAAAGGATTGAGATGTGATACAAAGGATTGATGTGTTCCTAATAATGTTCTAACTGACTATCCTAAATCCTTTCAACAAGAAGGATATATGAAAAAACATGTATATAAATCAATTGTATTTGTTGGGTGCACAATATTACGTCTATCGTTATAATATATAACATAAGCGAGGATGTAATTTAATGCTTTCATGTTATTGTGACTCACAAAATTATGCACCAAATTGCACCTCTTACTGCAATGTAATGCTAATCGTCACGCTAATAAACAACTTTTTTTTATTGATAAAATCAAGTGCTATAAAAAGTTTAATTACAATTTTCGTTCCAGAATATTTTTCTTTCTGCTTGTAGGTGTAATATTAAAATTAATATGAAATTTTATTAACATTATTGACTATGATATTAATTAATTAATACCGAGATAAACGTTTTATAATATTTCCAAAATTAATCAAGTGAATACTAACTATGTGACACATACTTTTCATATTTATAATTAACAATTAACTGTTATGATAAAATATAGCTTTTCTCATATTTTTCATATTAAACAGATAACATGTTCCTTCAGAGGTACCTGTACACATTAAGAATTCATTGTGCTTTCATCATCAAAAGTACATCTGTGGTTGTTTTAATCCTCTCCTGATTTTGTGTGAATTTTCTGTTCACATAATTTGTGTGAATTTTCTAAGTCATGGGAGAAATTGTTGACATGTAAAAGCTTTGAGGTGCATTCACAGCTTGTTATGTCTCTGCTGCAATGCAAAATATAAGTAATAAATGTCGAATCGCTTCTAAACTTAATCGTGGTTACGATAGCCGCTCAGTTAATGTTATTTTTTGCATTTATGAAAATAAACTAATCATCATCGTAACTAAATTAAAATTTATATCTTTGAGGGCATCATAATATAATAAAGTATGTATTTGAATAAAATATTTATGTTTTAATTGTATTGTACATTGAAAATTTGCAATAAATCAATTACAAGATTTTAAAACTAAAAAATATATTCTATCTAAAATTTATTATGAACTTTTTTTACAACATTAAAATAGATATAAGTACCAAATTTTCAATGTTTTAGCATTAACATTTAAGGCGTTTTGTGTAGTCACATATTAAAATCACTCTATTATAAATCAAGCTTGCCATTTATAATACTAATTGTGCTTCAAGGACATTGTATTAGATATTGAGAGCTAGCACAGCACGGAGTAACAATTGGTTCTAATTCTACAAGTAATTTTAATTGAAAAAAACATGCAGAAAGTATGATTTCGAAGATACACCTTCAAAGATATCTCATTTATTTTTACACCTTTTCTTAATTAGACATTCAGCAGAAATGCATTGCAATATATATGCTATTAAAATGATATATCAAGCAAAAGCAATCATTCATGTAGAGAGATATAGTATCAATTGAAGTTGATTTTAATGTGAATATAAATATGAATGGAATTCTTATTGTGTAAAGGTACCAATCACTAACACAAAGAAATTAATGGTCTTGTAAAACTAACCCTCTATTGCTGTGTTATCTCTGTCTCCTTAGTTCCCTACGCCAATCACCAGCCCGGAGACTGAGCCTTGGCGCTGGCTCGAGTAAGTCTTTACCCATCCGTAAGCATTATTTTCTTTCCATTTCATGTTTGTAGCATGATGACAGTGTGTACTATATCGAAAAACTGTATTTTCTTTCCATATAGTTTTGTACATATATTTTATGAGATAATTACTTGCTATATTAAACTACAGGACAATTTATCCTTGTCTATAATAAAGTGCTATGAGACTCAGAAAAACATTAAAACGAATTTCAATCTCGTCCTAATATCTCCTTGGACTTTTCATTCATCTACACATACACATATAATTCCCCATTACATTGTTTTCTTGTGCTGACTTACAATTGCACATCTAACAAAGCACTGATTTAATTCACTAACTGTGTTTGATATATGCTTGCAACTTGCACATTGTAATTAGTGTCTGCTTGCTTTACTTCCATTTTTTTCACTAATTTATCACAGGTGTAAATAAAGTTTTTTATTGTAGAAAGAAATAGGAAGGACATTTGTGAAATGCTTTAAGAACATTTATAAGCAATATTACAGATATCTTTATGTAACACATTGCTTAATCAATGTGTTAAGTAGTGCATGCTATCCATTATAATTTTCCACACAATTTTCAACTCTGTGTGCTTTATATGAAACATAAAGTTGATGCTATCAATAATTTATTAAATATAGTAGAAGAAATGGATATTAAGGATAATTTAACAGTTAAAAATTTGTGCTATATTCATAGAGATGCACAATCGAATAAGATTATTTTCATTTAGAATTCTAGTAAAAATAACTACTTGATAATTTTTTATTATTCTTTGTTGTATTTTTTTCAATGAATTTTCAAACATACAAAAATAAAATGCATGGTAATCATATTTGGTTCATCTAATCTTAATCATTTATATTTATTTGTTGCAACTTTTAAAACACATCATCATCTGATTTTAGGCAACTTTTATCGCCTTAAAAAATGGCGTGAAAGACTTCAGAAAGTAAAAAAATTGAAAAGATCACAATAGAAGCATCTGAATAAATTTCATAAAGATTGCATACATTATAAAAATTACATTATTTTGTGAAAAAGAAGTACCCAGAGATGGTAATCTGACAAAATTGTCCTAGAAAAAATTTTCAACAGAGTGATTGTTATAATTAATAGAGTACCAAATCATATAAACTAGAAACTACAATGCACATTTGCCTAACAAACTAGAAAGTAGTTGAACCATGTCAAATGGAATACTTTTAGAAAAGGAAGCATAAAGCACATTTCTTTTGAAAATGATGATGTACATCTGCAAAATCTCATAAAACTCCCTCTCAATGAAGTTTACAAATATTACTGCATGTTAAATGTGTGTCGCAGGTCATGAGGCTAGAAAGCTGGAAGCAACGTTGGACAGGCAATGGTGGGCAAAATGTAAGAAGTTTCAGTGTTGACACTGAAAGCGAGCTGGACGAGCGGGATCTCAGAATTTGTTTACAGGATCATATCAATGCAACTACACAGAACTCACCAGAGGTATAGAATTCCATGCATACCAGACATTAGGCAGCTAATTGTCGTTCGAACACACACAGAAGTATTCCATATGTCAGAGCAGATGGGACCTTTTACGTTTCATGATCATGCTTTCGCTGTAGAGAGAATACGACGAGTTATAACACACATATAGAATATTATAAATCGAGAACACATAGGAATAATAGCGATATTATGTTTTTAGTTTACGTGTACTATCACTATAGCTCGTGATGTATTAACAACATAGTAGTAATTAAAATAGGTGTAATCTGGCGGTCATTAATAACGCAATATAAAATTATCTGACCCGGATCGATCATTCGTTGCAATCAGACTTCGAAGTAGTATGTATTTGTAAAATGTGTTCGTTTAATACAGTATGGTGTCTAGAGTGTCTCAATGTCTCGTAGACATTTTGTTTCAATAGCATTGCAATTAACATTTACAATTTTAATTATTTTATCACGAGTCTCCGCAAAACCAGAAACCACCTTCAATTCGTTCCATTAATTTTTATAATAGATAGTTCATTGCATTTCGAAGTCTGCTTACAATCGACGAATACTATAGGTTAAATATAACTATGTGACGCATAAACGACACGTTTTTATACGTATTACGCATTCTGTGTATTTTTTGTAATTTAAACCAAATGTAATTCCATTTAAGGAATTGTATATTGAATAGAATGAAATCCGGCGACGGGGAAATCGGAGTCTTATACGAAAGACTAAGAGTCAAAAGGAAAAAAAGAAAATTGATAAAAAAAGAGAAAAAAAACGCGTTTTTCCTGATGCGACGGAATACTTAGAGTCTCATTAACAAGTCGCAGTAGCGTATTACTCCGGTTTGTAGAATATTATAGGAAAACAAAACAATAAAACAAAACACAAACATATATGAGTAAATAAAGTATACCAAATACTCTTTGGATTCATCAGTATTCTTCTCGCGTACATTCGCGTATTTATAATACGCTAAAAGTAGTAAAGAAACGACACGAGGTTAATTTCAAACGGTCCAACTATTGAGTGGAAAACTTGCGCACACAATTGAAATACAGTACTGTGCAAAAATCTTAGGTTATTTTTCTAGTTTTTACATTTTGCTTTTCAAAAGTGATTGAAGGTGTGGTTGGCATTATTTTAATACTATTGTTATACCTAGAAAGTTAATACCTATCTTTAAGTAATTAATATTTTTAAGTCGTTAATATTTTATTCGTAAATCATGTTTTTATAATGCCATAAATATTTGATAGTATTTGGAAAATTGCAAAATTTTTAAAAAATTTATGAATCAGAAATAACATATACAAAACCTTTTTTATTATAGTAACTAAAGTAACAGTAACGTAGATAATTTGGGATTTTTTCACAGTATTATGTACACATACACAAACATTCACATTAAACAAGATTAGAAAAGAAAGATGATCTTGATTAGATAGAGAGGGGTAAGTAGGCGCTATAAAAGATTCGTAATTTCGTTAAAATTGGATCTAAGCAGCTGCTGATCGGTGAAGGGTGAATCGGTGTTCTTTAAATCAATTTACTAATTGCAGATTATTGAAAGTGAAAGTGAAACCGAACGAGATAATCGGGAGTACAGTTGTAAAACTTAAATAGCCCGGATAGCTCGTTCCTTATAGCGAGGACGTGATAATTACTTCCAACGTAAGTAGTTGCGCAAATCAGAACGTCAAACTGCTTTTATCTCAAATTTTTTTTATTCATGGATTTGTTTTTTTTTTTGTTCATTTCTTTTTTCGGTTTATTTTCAGCTTAATCGAACCCTTAACGATCCATTCTCGTTCCTGCAATGATTGTACGTGTTTTCAGACGGTTTAAGAATTCAAGTAAATAGCCTAAACGTATTTACTTTTAAGATAAAGGGAGCAGCTGATCGATAAAGAGAGCAACTTTTCTTATCGTTCCATAATGATACACAATACATAATTTTCAGCCATTTCGGTTTCGTTTTATCGCTTTGTCTCTTTTTCCTTTTTTCTTCTCTTTTTTTTTACTCTTTTCATTCGACAAGTGCAATCTTTATTTACGTTCATTAACGTATCTTCAGAAGAGTGTTATTAAAAAGTATGTATATCGAAAAATGATTTTATGGGGCAGTGTAAATAGGCAATTTTATTATCGATTATTCTTTTAACTAGATTTTGATACACAAAAATATCTTCACTGGTATAATATTTATAAACTTAAAGTATGCATGAACTTGGCAAAAGTTTTATTACTCATAAAGAGATAACAAATTAGAGATTGGAAAGAAGCAATACTTAGTAATTAGTATATTTAAAAGTTGAGAAATGTATGTTTGATATTGTTTCTAATTAACCGTCGTTCATGAATATTCATTTTAAATCGTTTTACGTATCGTCTGTATTTTTATCTACAGATTACTTTTATTAGAATAATCATTAAAATTTGTTATCAATTTCTAGAAATGTATGTTTGAGATTGATTCTAATTAACCGTCGTACATGAATATTCACTTTAAATCGTTTTACGTATCGTCTGTATTTTTATCTACAGATTACTTTCATTAGAATAATCATTAAAGATTTTTATCAATTTCTAGAAATAAAAAATTTATGAGATATATAATTTACAATTTCTATAACGAAAATTGCGTTCTTAAAGTCGATGGCAATTTTATTTACTGTACCTATATTAATCTTTTTTAACTAAATATCAATTTTTAATTGATTTATTAACAACGAATTTTATTATAAATAACGCTGGAACGTTAAGGGTTAAACGCGTCCACAGTTTTTCGCTTTGGCCTAAATTGTACTGTACATAATTTCGTTTTGTCACGAATAATTGGCACCAGGATTATAAAAATCGATCGTGAACGCACCGAACACAAGAATTCTCTCTCAAAAAAAAAAAAACGAGACTTTCTGCTTTCGTGCACGTTTGATCAGAAAGGAAATTGCATGTAACCTTTGCGATATCATAAAATCTTATTAATCGAGTAAATTATTAATGTTGAGTAAATCTGCTAATCAAAAAGGAGGGCTCGATATTTAGACTTTTACAACGTGGATGATCTTTACTCTGCAGCAAGTAAAAATTCTATTTGCCACTCGAAACTCACATTTTCACTCGCTTTCCAGCTATTGTAATTTAAAAATCAAGTCTAAAATTATTTTATCGCAATTGTCTACTGTATTTAAATATATATGTATTTATTGATTTGTTATGGGGATTCCTGTGATGTATTCTGTATATGAAGATCATAGGAGACAAACATAATAAGTACATTTTTGTTGATCCTCTGACTTTCATATCATTTTACGATTAAACAACAATGTAATTAAATAACTTGTTAGGTTTAAAAATAATATTAATTATCAAGACATGCAATGTTTTAATATCATGACGAGGAAAATTTTAAAGAGCATGAAAATACACATGTGTAGCTTCACAATCAAATAAAAGAGATAGTTCTGTTAACATGAAAGTGATTGACATTGTACTGAATTTTAAAACTGTTTCCTCGTAACAAATGTTTCTCTCCTGTACTCCTCATATAAGATTTCAATACATATACATAGTAATTTATATTTACGAAACTTTTGTAATTTTTGCTACGATTTCTAAATTTTGTTATTTTATAATATATAAGGAATATTTGAATAAATCAGTCTTTGAATTCGGTTTTTAAACATTTTTAACATTGTGATTTTTTCATAGATCGCTTTTTAAAGAATACTTTTAAGGAGGAAATTTTTCGATTAAATTTTTCTAATCTTTGAGGAATATTCGTATTGTGAGAATGATGGATCCCCTGTAGCAATTCGGTATTTTCCAGCAAATCACGAACAATTCAGTATGTCGTGTCGCTTTTACACAATTCACGAGAAGGGAAAACGTTTCTGTAAGAGACGAAAAATCATTCCGTAGAAGTCTATACTTAATTTTAAACAAATCATAGAAATACGCTAAGGCAATGCTTAATGGCACAAAGCTCAATAATTTATTACTAAGAAAGGCTTAGTTTCTCGTCTTTTCAGATATTTCGCCAGAGAAATCGAAACATGTTTCTTTCGTCTATTAAAAATAAGGAGAGTAAATAGGAATAATTTCGATACTGCCTGATATTCGAAACCGAGTGGATTAAACCATATAAATGGCTAAAGAGAAGTGTCCATTAGAAAATATCCAAAATTCTCTCACGTCGCTTTTGCGAATATAGGTGTGCGATTATCTGAAAATCAATTTTTACGCAGAGTACTGCATTTTCTTAATTTTAAGCTTGTTCTAACAACTAATGAAAGAGAATAACGATATCAAATGATAGGAGAAAAATAATGATTAGTTGTATTTAACTGGAAAATCGTGAAAATCCAAAAAAAAGAAAAAAAAATTATATAAATTAATACGATTTAGCTACAGCTCTTTTATTAAAAAAATGTAGAATTGTGATATATGTATATGTACGTGTGTACTTTAGTATTTGTTATTTTAAACAATTCACCAGTAAATGCATTTAAAAAAAAAAAATAGTTTGATCTGTTGCTTTTATCGAAAAGAGAAATTATTTATTTATTCGATTTTTTAATCGGATTTTTTAGCGCTTTTCGAAAATACTGATCGAGTTTAACACGAAGCAATCTCTTGTACACTCTCGAGTATTTTCTTGAAAAAAAAAAAAAAAAAAACTTTGGTACAGAGAATTGTTTTATTTATACTTATAAACGATTGCTATATTTATGTAGCAGTTATTTGTACAGTTTTCACATAAATACTTCTGTTTATTATGAATCATATAACTTATTTGCGTTCAATAAAACTATCTTAAATAATGTCGCTATAGTAATCAGTATTTATTATGATGGCAAATATTTTCCCAGGTATCGTTTGATTTTTAAACATTGTCTATTTATTGCCTTTATACTAAAACTATGTACAATCATTATTAGTCTGTTATATTTTTTAAAAGCTCTTATTATTAGAAATCATTTGTGCAATTTTTAAAATGATTCTTTTGTAAATCGTGATTGTACTGGTTTTAATAAAAATTAATCTCTATTTTATATATTTACAATACATATTGTATACTTTCAATTTGAGGTTTAGAAAGAATTCTTTAACCATATTTTTTAATAATTATTCTTAGTTAAATTTTAATAACAATCTCAGTCATAACTCTTCTAACAATAATAATAATAATATAAATAATTATATAAATATAAATTTACCGGGAAATATATCGGCTATCATCGATCAGTATTCGTAGATATTTATCGATCAGTATCAATATTGGATTAACTTTCACCATTGATAGCGCCAACTTCAGTCGAGAAAGAAAATAGTACTAAAGGACGTACAGAACTTATTTCTTATCGTTATCGAAAGTATGCGAGTGACTAATATATGTCTTACTAACATTATTCATCCTTTTCTACACGTTTGTACTTTAAGAAACTATCGTGAAACTCTTCAGATATTATATTCATTCAACGTTTTACACAATGCAACGAGTCTCTGTCTGAATATACCTCGATATCTTGTTACGGATCATTTCGAAGTAACTATATATGAACTGTACGTATTCTGCGCATTTAAACTGTATTTCTAGAACGAGCGTTCGTTAACGAATCATTTTTTAGTGATTTTCCTGTTGTATACAAGGTTTTTGGACAGATAACGCGCACACTACGAACAACGATATGAATTTGTCACGAACATTGTGGGGAATATTATAACATCAGGAGTAAATAAATTTTTATTCACTTTTAATGCTGTAGTTTTCTTCCCTTTGGTGTTCAAACATCAAACTATTTAAAGAAAATTCCATAGTATTGAAAAATGGTTTGTTTTCATGTTTCAAAAATTTATATTTGATTTTTATCTTTCTAAACAATACTTTGTGGATAGTTACAAGACGTTCATATATAACGAGTGACATATATACAGAGTATCGCAGTAATCATGGTACATTTGGCAAGGGGAAATAATAAGTTGAAAATGTAGAATAAAATTATTTCACAGGATGCTTTGGTTCTGAGAAAATTAAATCGAAAACTGGTCAAGTAGGCGTGTATTCAATTCATAGTTCAATACATTCAAACTCTATTTTCTAGAAAACAGAGGGACAGTAAAATTTTATTCTACATTTTTTATTTATTTTATCATTTTTTTCGTAGAACCATATGCTTTTCGATCGTACCGCGTTTGTTGAAACACCGTATAATATATAACAATAAAAATTAATTACGAACATCTTGAAATTATCCACGAAATTTTATTTAAAAATATAAAAATTACAGTAGCTACCAAAAGTATTTGTACACCACTGCATTTATTATTTCATTTTCATATACTAATTAACTAGATCCGACTGTAACACATTTTGTATCATTTAATGGTAACTTTCACATGATTACAAAAATTTGATAGTATGGAAATGAAATGTAGAACCTAATAAAGAAACGCTTTAATGGAATATAAGGATATATACAAATTACAAATATATACTTTTTGTAGCCACCGCAAATATAATCTTTTATATAGTATTTATGTATCCTTTATTCCACATTTAGTATCTATTTATCTTTTTTCCGGTTGGTCGATAATCGAAATCGCTTCGAACTTCAGTTCTTACCCTTCGATCATTAATTCGCGCCTCGAGACAAGGGGACTCGGTCGTCTCCTTATATCTATTGATGGTCCCCAAGCGAAGCGGTAACCCGCAGGAAAGGTATAATCCCGCTTACAGACTTAACAACCTCGATACGATATTCGGAAGGAGCAAGAAGGATGGAAAGGAGAGAGAACGCTGAGAAAAACGTGTGAGGGAGAGTGTGAAAAAGAGAGAGAGAGAGACAGAGATAAAACGAGCGAACGCAAAGACAAAAGCAAAGAACCAAGGACCAGGGAGAATTTGCGTTCATGGGCGGCGCTAGTTGTGGCAGGTAGTTTTCCAAATGGAGTCTATCGGCCAGAGAGTGGAAAAAAGTAATCCGTGAAAAGGGGTTCGTTGTTACGCCGATCTGATGCAACGTTGCCGATTCTGTGCGAATGAGAAGAGCGGTTGGCTGGGTTGGTCCAGGACC